CATGAAATCTTATTTAAAAAACAAAACAAAACTATGAAGTATAATGAACTTGGAAACAGGGTTGAAGTGGTGATGTGCTTAGTTGCCTAGCTAGGACAGGAATAAGTTCAAACCTCAGTACCGCTCCCCCCCCCCAGTTTTTCATTTTAGTTTTTCTTTTGAATCTACCCACTTTCCAACTTAAATTGAGATTATTGTTTTATTTGTAATTCTTCTGAAAATTAATTATTTTGGCAATTTGACATTCATCTGACATCTTCCTAAATATTATTCTCTTGTACGGTGAGTGTTTTGTTTCAGTTAAACATAAAACTAATTCACCATATTTATCTCTTGTCTACTAGGCAAAGGAAGGGAGTGATATCATACCTACCCCATCAAAAGCTCTTCAGAGAAGTAGGCTTGAGTCTTAAGGGACAGTACAGGCGAAAAGAATGAATGGTTTGTTTAAGGGCAGGAAGAAGTTCTGCTTGACAGGAACATTGGAAATAAAGTAGAAGAGAGAAAAAAAAAAAACTTGGAGAGAAAAAAAAAAAAACTAGACAGCTGGGTGCTGGTGGCTCAACACCTGTAATCCTAGCTACTCAAAAAGCTGAGATCTGAGGATCATGGATCAAAGCCAGCCTAGGCAGAAAAATCCATGAGATTGTTTTATCTCCCTCCAGTTAATCACCAGAAAACTGGAAGTGGTGCTGTGGCTCAAGTGGTAGAGCACTCAACTTGAGCTGAAGAGCTCAGGCACAGTGCCCAGGCCCAGAGCTCAAGCCCTGCCTCTCCCCCTCACCCCCCCCCCCAAAAAGCAAGCCAGGCACCAGTGGCTCATGCCTATAATCCTAGGTACTCAGGAGGCTGAAATCTGAGGATCATGGTTCAAAAATAGTCCAGGCAGGAAAGTATGTGAGACACTTAAATCTCCAGTTAACCACCAGATCACTGAAAGTGGTACTGTGGCTCAAAGTGGCAGAGCACTAGCCTTGAGCAAAAAGAGCTCAGGGACAGTGCCCAGGCCCTGAGTTTAAGCCCCATGACTGACCAAAACAGAAACAGATAGGGATTGATTGTGGTGAAGTTTTTCCTGCTGAAAATCTGAATTTTTTTTAACTGTATTTTTTTTGTCTTTTCTTTTTTGGTACTGGGGATCGAACCCAGGACGTTGCGCTTGCTAGGCAAGCGCTTTGCCACTGAGCTACATCCCAGCCCGAAAATCTGAATTTTAATGCTGATGATTCTCACAGAATTAAATTTTTTTGTTGTTGTTTTTTACCTTATTGGATTATGGAGGGGATAGTTCTTCTACCCAATGCTGCTTGGGGTAATTTTGGCATATTGTATTTAATTGTCTCCTGCACAGCCATGTGGAAGTATTCACTGGGCAGTTGGGCATGTAAGTCTAGAGTTCAAAAAAAAGCTGCTACAATTCCAGATGCAAAGATTCTATATAATGTAAGCATTGAAAAACAAAATATAATGTGTAAGCACTGCTTTTGGAAGTGTTACAGTGGAAATATTTGAATTTATATTTACTTTCAGTTTGGGACTTTCAATTTATCTGTTTTCATATGTGTTTTAATGAATAAAACCTAACTACTACACATATAATTTGTGAATATATATGAGAGTATGCTCAGTATTTTTAGCTTTGATGAATGATCAACTTTGTAAATAACTTAAACTGGTTGGGAACCAGTGATCACCTGATGAGTATTTTACATACTTCTGGATCCTTTCTTCAGAGACAGTTGTATAAGAGGGAATAGGAAAATCTCTTTTAATTCCTCCAATGAATCTGCTATTCTACCAGGGTTGGAAACCCCAAAGAGAAGATAGATTGACACTAATTTTACCAGAAACAACTTAAAAGACTTAACAAAAGAGAATAATAGAGCAAGGAGAACTGTAAAGAATACACACATAGGACTGGAGGACTTACTCAAGTGGTAGAGTGCCAGCCATGAACCAAAAGCTGAGTGAGACCATGAGGGCCTGAGCTCAAGCTCTAGTAACAACAATAAACACACACACAAATGGCAGATACAAGTAGATGTAATCACCCTTAGGAGTGAAATAAAGTCCCTAGGGACAAGCAAGACCATTCCTGTTAGGATTGAAATTGAAAAGAGTGGCAGCAGTCACTGAATTGCTGAAAATCTGACATTGTCTTGTAATGCTAAAGAATTTGTAGTTTGTACAGATTATAGCAGTATAAATGGTAGATATTGTAAAGACTGTTTTATATATTATATAAATATAGAATCAGGAACTACAAAGCTAGGCATTTTAGTAAGTAGGTTTATAGGTAGAGTATATTAGTATTGTACAATAATAGGTAAATATGTTGTGTATCATAGACATTAGAAGAGTGAGGGAGGCTGGGAATGTGGCTTAGTGGGTAGAGTGCTTGCCTACCATGCATGAAGCCCTGAGTTCAATTCCTCAGTACCACATAAAAAGCCGGAAGTGGTCTGTGGCTCAAGTGTTAGAGTGCTAACCTTGAGCAAAAAGCAGCTCAGGGACAGTGCTCAGGTCCTGAGTTTAAGCCCCACAACTGGCAAAAAAAAAAAAAAAAAAAGAAGAGTGAGGGAAGGGAATGGATGAGAATGTTGAAAGGGGTGACATCGATCAAAATACATTGTATTCATAAACTGCTTTGTTAAATGGCAAATCCTTTGTACAACTACTTAAAGCTAATAATTAAAATTATTTAAAAAGAAAAGAAAATGCAGAAAGCATAAGTAGAATATAGTTTTACTTTTGGAAAGGAAATTATTCTCAGAGAAAGCTGTATTATACCTGATGCTGTGACTCATCCCCATAATCCCAGATGCTTGGGAGGTAGGAATAGGAAGACATGGTTTGAACCAGGCAAAAAATATGAGACCCTGTCTGAAAAGTAACTAAAGCAAATAGGGATGAGGGAGGGATAGGGATGAAGCTTAGGTTTAAGCAATAGAGTGTTTGCCTAGCTAACAAGTAAGAGGCCCTGAGTTCAAACTGGAACATGGTGTGACTGTTATATATTCCGACAAAGCTAAAATATAAATATATTAATATAATAATTGGCAATTAAACAGGTAGTAAAAGAAAGTCAAAGGATGCCATTTAAAATGGACAAGCAAAAATATTAGAAGAAAAATATGAATAATAAGCATAGCAATTATAATTGCATTCAAACTTCAGCCATATCAATAAACATCACATTTATTCACAAGGAAAGATTTTCAAATTGTTACATAAAGCAAAATCCATTTATATACTCTATGCAAACATATCTAAAGCAGTGATTTCAAAGGTTAAGACTAAAGTAACATGCAAAGATATCATAGGCAAATGGAAAGAATAAGAAATCAGAGGTTACGATCTCAATAGACAAGTAGAATCCAGGAAAAAAGGCTTTAACACAAGTGAACTTATAATTTTGACAGTCATATTTCTCAGTATTCTTAAGAGTGTGAACACATTGAACACCTAAATTATAGCAGAATTGCCAAAGCAGACTATAGGACAATGCAAGAAGCAATAGAAACACACAATAGGAAACTTTCAATATATACATCATAGTTCAGATTTAATAGGAGGGTATTAACAAATATATTTCCTGTCCCAGAACTGGAATTAGCCCTTTCTTCAAGGATTCTTGGGTTCCTTATGGGAAATGTTTAGATATTACAGTCTTTATATTCAGAGTACTCATATTGAGTTGGTCTTTGTTAAAATGCATCATTCATATTGACATTTCTAATGGAAATGTATGATTACAGAGGCTGTACACTGAAATCTGTTTGTACCTCTGTGGGGAGCAGGTTGCCAGTCCTTGGGCTTGAACTCTGGGCCTGGGTGATATCCCGTGGTGCCACAGCACCATTCCGATTTTTTTGGAGGTGAAATGTCTCACAGACTTTACTGCCCAGGCTGCCTTTGAACCACAATCCTGAAATCTCAACCCCCTGAGTAGGATTACATGCATGAGCCACTGGCACCCAGTGTATCTTTGGGTTTTGCTTGTTTTGCTTGTCCTAGGGCTTGTCTTGGGCGCTGTCCCTGAGCTTCTTTTGCTCAAGGTGAATGCCCTACTTGAGCCACAGTACCACTTCCAGTTTTTTGAGAAGTTTATTGGCAATAAGAATTACTCATGGGGTTTCCTGCCCTGGCTGGCTGCAAACTATGATCCTCAGATCTCAGCCTCCTGACTAGCTAGGATTGCAAGCATGAGGCACTCACTGGCCCCTGGGTTTCTCTGGCTATCTCTGGGTTTTTGAGACAAGGTCTTAATGGCCCAGGTAAGCCTCAAATTCACTTTTATGTAGTTAATCACCAGCTCCTTAGATAGCTAAGTTCCTCCATTTCTCATTTTGCTTTCACTTTCAGGTTTTTGTTATTTTTATCTCATTTTTACTTTCAAGATTTTATTTTATCATTTACTTTTGCTTTCTTTAAAAACGTTTTTAAGCATGTTACGGGCTTCCAGGAGCTATGATTAGTTAAAGGAATGTTGTTATTCAAGAAAATCTTTCAACTTTTTATTCTAAAAGATAAGGAATTTACCATAATTGTTTCATTTATTTCTGCGTATTAGCTAAGAGAACTCCAAGCCTTAAGAGTGTAGAATACTTCTGTGCTACAATTTCTACATACTACCTCTGGGATGTGATTTTAGTATTTGCTAAGACGCCCTACATAAAATCTGTCTTATCCCCCTTTAGCCTCCTAATTTGCATTATTTAGGATCTCAAGTAAATATTTTTGCTACAAAAAAAGATATACCTAAACAGTAACCCCTCTGCATATCACCTTTACAATAACAATTTTTATTTAACTTTTGTTAAAATATATATATATATGCATATATATATACATATATATGCGTATATATGCTTGAACTTTGTATTTTAAAACTTTAGATGATATCAGGTCATGAAAGTGTTGGGGAGAGAGCAGTAGCTACTATGTCTCCTTTTGAGAAATTGAATTCCAGATATAAAATTTTGTTATTTTCTTTTCAGAGTCTGATAAAATACCAGTGATGCGTGGACAGTGGTTTATTGATGGGACTTGGCAGCCTCTAGAAGAAGAAGAAAGTAATTTAATTGAGCAAGAACATCTCAATTGCTTTAGGGGTCACCAGATGCAGGAAAATTTTGATATTGAAGTGTCAAAATCCATAGATGGAAAAGATGGTAAGACAAGTTAATGCATTTATATATTCTGTAAACAAGCAAAATATTTGTAAAGTTTAGAGTCGTTGGTAAGTTTGATTTTTAAAAAAATTTTGAACTCAGTTAAAATTTATAAAATCTGATTTTTATTGAGGTCCTGGAAAATTATACCCCCGTGCCATTGAGCCACATATCCATCTCTGAATCTGATTTTTTTAAATACTTGGTTTTTATTCTGAATTTAAACTATGAATTTCTAAACTTTAAATATTTATTAATATGAATGTTCCATTGCTAACACAATTTACTATAAATAGACAAATGGTTGTGTTATATTCCTTGAATTAATTTTTTTCTAGAGTTTTTTAATTACCCCAAAAGTTTCGCCAGGCACCAGTGGCTCACAACTGTAATCCTAGCTACTCAGGAGGCTAAAATCTGAGGTTCACAGTTCGAAGCCAGCCAGCAGCAAAAGTCCATGAGACTCCTATCTGCAATTAACCACACACACACAAAAAAAAAACCCAGAAGTAGAGCTATATGAAGCTTAAGTAGTGGAGTGCTAACCTTAAGTACAAAAAGGTCAGGGTCATGGGGCTGGAAAGGTAGCTCAGTGGTAAAGCGCTTGCCTTGCATGCCTGAGGCCCTGGGTTTGATTCCTCAGCACCACATAAGCAAAAAGAAAAAAGTGGCGCTGTGGCTCAAGTGGTAGAGCGCTAGCCTTGAGCTGAAGAGCTGAGGGACAGCGCCCAGGCCCAGAGTTCAGGCCCCACGACCGGACCCAAAAAAAAAAAAGGTCAGGGTCAGTGGCTAGGCCCACAGTTCAAGCTCTAGGACCGGAGTGGGGGGGGAGGGATTTTTTAACTTAAAATCAGAAAAAATAATAATAATTTGAGCTTACCAATTCTATTAAAAGTACAATTTTTTATTTTTTTAATATTTTATATTTGTTTTTCTCTAGAATTTTAAAAGAACGTAATTGTCTTTGTGTTTCTTTAGCTGTCTTCTTAATGACAACATATCAATTTCTAAGTTTAAAATAGTCTGCTCCTTAAATTTCCTTATTTAGCAATTGGACAAATTTCAGTAGTTAAAATTATTATATAATTGCTAAGTATCTCATGTTTTCATAATGTGCCTGAATCTTGAGCAAACTTCAAAAATATCCGATAAAAGTTAAAACTGCTTCTATTGTTCCATTTACTGCAGGCAGTGGGATCAACTATTCTGGTGAGTATAAATGTACAGGTAGATTAGATTGTGTTGGTATCTACATTTTTTTTCATCTAATAGCTTTTCTTCATCTATGCCTGCCTTTATTTGGGAGGTTTCTTGGTAAGCCCTGTTGAACAGAATGAATTAAAACACAAACAGTGATTTTTCAGAAGCAGAGAAATTCAGTTTTGGTCAGGTAACTCAGTGTGCAACATGAAAAACATTGTGTGTTTGAAATGTTGCTGAAACAGTGACAGAACAAGGAACTTTATACTGACCAAGGATGTTTTCCTTACTATTAATAAACTCTCTTACCTACTCTTTATCTTTACTCTTACCTCTTCAAACACATATTCGTCTATGTGGTACATACATCGCATTGGTCACAAGCAAGGAAGCTGCACAGTTTATCTTATAAGATACTATCCTTTGTTCTTACTTGTTAAAAGTTGGGAAAGTTGTAACTTCTGCATAAATTGGCAGTTAAATCTAACAAATTTATATAATAATTGTGTGTTACATGCAGACACTAAACTCTAGGAATTTTAAATATATCTTACTTTCCTAATCAGGCTGAAGGTTTACTTACCAGAATACACAAATCAATTCAGTATAGAAGTTGAAGACTATATTCCTGCAGAATGTAATAGAAATACTTTGCCTTTGTGATAACAAAATAGCAAATCTTATATATATATATATATATATATATATGATTTTATATAATAACTTAAAACATCACCTCTCATCACCACTGTCAAAATAATCTCAAACCTGTTTCACAGCATTTGAATGATGGATCACTTATAATTTCATTGCCATTGGAGAATTCTTGAGTTTTGGATTTCCTTTTCCCCCTAAGTCTATTCCTCAAAAAAAGCAGTTATTAACAACCCAAATTCAGCCACCTAAATTCTTTATTAATAGTGTATAGAGCTTGGAAGAAAAAAATGAGTATGTAAAATTTGAAATTATCCCCCTTTCTCAAAATATTTATTCAGAATTTTTTTTTCATTTGCTAACTCATCTGGTGGAGGTTAATCATCAACTCTCTAATCTTACCCATCAGGAATCTTGGTTACAATAAAACTTAAACTTTCATGTTATCAGTTTTGCTCTACTCCCTTGCTTAGGCACTAACTGTGGAAGGATACTCATTTTCCTTAAAGTGCCCAGATGTAACTATATCTGATTATAAAAACATGGTTTATTTTGTGAGTAGCTTTTTAAGTATCTAGCTTTAAGGATGCACATTGAGTGGCACAACATGGTTAAGCTGTACATGTCAGGTGGCATATTGGCTATAAATTCAGTATACTTTGTTATTAACAAAGATGATAAGTGGTATTCAATATCAATATTATTATAATTTTATTTTTATTCATATTAGGCGTACATCCATATGTTAAGGTGTAACATAATCTTTGAAGATTGAGTGATTTTTTTCAGTACATTGAAATTTACAGTTTGTCTTAAGGAAAGAACATTTGCCATCTAAAAAGCCACCATTTTAAGGAAATGTTGGGTTTTTTTGTCGGTCATGGGGCTTGAACTCTGGGCTTGGGCGATATCCCTGTGCTCTTCAGCTCAAGGCGAGCGCTCTGCCGCTGGAGCCACAGCGCCACTTCCAAGGAAATGTTTTTGAGAAAGTATTTATTTTGCTCCAAGCTGAAATTTTCTGTCTTGTTCATTTATTGGGGACAAATACCTTTCCACCTAAATTTCTCATGTATAGATGATAAAAGCCTTAACTCTTCATATGATAAAGACATCTTGAATGCTTCCATGTGTGGCTATATTGTGTGAACTACTTTGTGAAAGAAATAGACAGTTTTTACCCTCAACCTATGAAGAAGACAAAGTCTACAGCTAAATATTTATAAAACGCTAAGTAAAAGATAACATAGGAAACAATGAATATTAAATACTCTAAAAAGATACTTGGGATAAAGACAATCAGTGACCACAATCTAGTAGAGTTATTAAAAGAAGGTAGTCTGGAAAATCCTGTTTAATAAATAAAAATATTTTAAAACATTATGTTTAGAGACACTTAATAATAAGGCACTAAACAGAATTCCTGCCTTCAAGAACCCTAAAAATAATCATTCTCCCCTGTCCCCTTTTTTTCTGACTGTTTAGGGTAGCTATTGCCATGAATTGCAATAGATTAAATATTTTCCTTCCTTCTAAATTTCATACTGATCTATTAGCATCTAATTAAATCTATGAAAATTTGGTGCAACTTCGTAACATCCAAATAAAGACAATCTACAAAATGATGTCTTTTACATTTCATGATTTTTAAACTTTAAATTTAGTTCTAAGAGCTAAAGTAAAAATTTGCTACTCCATTCCTAAGCTAGGAAGCATTTAATATCCTAACAAATGAATGCTCATCACTTCACTTGAGATGAATCATACACACAAACTCAGGTTTCCACAATAACTTTGTAAATACTTAGAGTAGTAAACCACTGTTTCACTCATTTATAATTTGTCTAAATACATACTGTAATTGTTTTTTAAAGGAAATTGAACTGATAAACAGATTAATACTGTATATGACTCCATCCAAAAAATGTGTAATTTCAGCAATAAGAAAGCATCAGAAAAACTAAAAATTCAGGCTAGCTAATTAACATGCTACAGAAGTATAAAGGTTCATGAAAGAAAGGGAAGATTGAAAACTTGATACTCATAAGAGAACACTAAGAAACATGGAAACAAAATGCAGTGTTGTATCCTGGGTTGTATCCTAGAATAAAAAAAGGCTATAGAAAAAAATAGAAAAGTCTGAATAACATTATTATGTAATATTAATTTCTTAGGTTTGATAATTCTGTTGTAGTTGTTCAAGCTACTAATATGAAGGGTAGCTGGATTGAAGGATATATGGCAACTTTCTGTACCCAAAGTTATTCCAAAATAAAGATTTTTTTAACTTAAAAATAAGGGCATAGAGAAATTAAACAGAAATACTAAGCATTAAGTTAATCTGAACGAAACTAAGGAAAAATAAAGAAACCATAGCATATTGACCAAAAAAGGGGAAATCTAAATCTGCTCATTTCAAAAACTATAGTAAACGTAAGTAAACTTACATGCCAATTAAAAAGCAATGATTTGGCAAATTGATAAGAATGCCACATATAGACTGTCTTCAAGAGGCACATTGTACACTTCTGTAGAATGCTCATTGCCCTAGGTGCAAGCTCCCTTTACCACACACACAAAGGAAAAAAAAAGTCACAGGTTGAAAATAAAAGAATGAGGATTTTACAGTTCTAGCTAATTTGAGGTACTATGGCAGCAGCACAGGTGCTGGGTGGCTCTGTATTTACACCATATAGTATTTCAGTGGGTGGAAGGAGTGTATATTTCAGTCACTCACTGGATGATGATATTCCATGTTGTGAAAATAGCATTTCAGAAGTTAGAGCCATACATGGTAGTACATACCTATATTCCATCACTTAGGAGTCTGAGGTAGTGCAGTCACCAGTTTGGACAACTCAGTGAGTTCTATGCCAGCCTTGGCTACATAGTGAAGAGTAGTAGCTCAAAACAAACCACCTTTCATTTTCTTCTTTATTTGGTTTCTATAAAGATTCCTACCTCATAGCTTTCTGGGTTTTTTTCCCTTAATATAAATTTATCTCAATTTCCCTGAGGAAAAATTGCCATGAATTTTCTTGTTAACAAATTTGGAATGTACAAGGCTGCTGCTTCCTAAGGGTTAGAATTTTCTGTGTTATCATTGAGTGTGGTAGTATATGCTTGTAATCTCAGCATTTAGGAGGCTAAAACAGGACAATGCTAAGTTTGAGGCCAGCCTGGTGACATACCATCATGCTGTCTCAAAATAAAAGTTTTCTTTTTTTTTTTTTTAATTTTTTTTTGGGGGTCCGGTTGTGGGGCTTGAACTCTGGGCCTGGGCGCTGTCCCTCAGCTCTTCAGCTCAAGGCAAGTGCTCTACCACTTGAGCTACAGCGCCACTTCTGGCTTTTTTCTTTTTGCTTATGTGGTGCTGAGGAATCGAACCCAGGGCCTCATGCAAGCAAGGCAAGCACTCTACCACTGAGCCACCTTCCCAGCCCCAAAAATAAAAGTTTTCTAAATTCCATGATATCAGCTTTTTATATGAAGGGAAAAGTTGAGTTTTTCTGTTCTAGGAATTAATATGCTGCTACCAACCCTTTTTTGGATAGTCCTTTGTTTTCAGAATTATATAATAAAGAGAATGAAATAAAATAGGAAATCTATTGAAAATCATTTTAACTATTCTATTGGAAATAATTTTTCATTACTGGATAAGATTTTAGTTTATGAAAGCATTTTAAGTTATGAATCACTAAAACTATTTTTAGAAATTATAAAAACATTAAATAGTACTTTCTAACATTTGAATTTCCTTAACAGTTATAGAAGGATTAACAAGCTTTTTTTCCCCTCTAGTCTACTTAGTATACCCCTAAGTCTATTCTTTGGGTTGAAAAAATTAAGCTCTCTGACTTTGTTATAAAATGAGTAACAAATAATGGCTTTCAAGTGAAAATAAGTTTTTAAAGGTAAAGAACAATGTTTATTTTTTGAAAGTGTTCTTAAATGTTTTTTTCAGTTTGGGGAATGAAAAGCCTTTTTTTTCTGTGTATATTGGTGATTGTCTTTTTTCTTTGACCTTTAAGCTATGCTGTTCATTTAGAAGAGAGATACCTTCATTTTTTCTATCTTAACTAGTGTTTTGATAGTATTTGTATAATTTAAAAATGTGGTCAAGTGGCCTATATGCTTAATTCTCTATTAGTAAGTATAGAATTTGGCTCATTTAGCTTTATTACTAGGATTAAAACAAATCTAGTTTTTATTCTCTAGTTAACATCAGTTTGATCCACTTTTGATACATTAGCAGTTTTTCCTAATGAATTTTTTTTATTATTTCTGGGTCTGAGTGTATGTCTACTCCTGAATAAGGTGACCAGAAGGCACATGAAAGAAGAAACATTTCAGTGAAGAAAATTGCTTCGGTTGTGATTTTTTTCACCCCATGACACTGAAATCTATTTATAACACTGTTATAATAATATAATAGCAGCCCAGCTTTTAGTCCTAGTCTATAGTTCTTCTAGACATCTATTTTCACATAGGTGTAGTATTAAATATATAGATATAGTCATTAATGCCTTTTGAGCATTTCTCAAATACCTTTACTGTTCAAATCTTTGCATATATTTTATCTGTATGTGCAATAGATTTGTTACATTTCTGATACTGTCCTACAGAAATTTTAAGATTTCTATATTTCAGCAGTATTTAACCTTTGGATTTCAAATTATTGTAAAAGGGAATAAGGATGAAAATAAAATACATTAGAACACAAAATGTAAATGAATTCAGTTACAATCTGTGTTCTTATATATTTTATTTTTTAAAGTTCTATAATTTATTAACTGAACTAGTAAATTTTCAAGGTTCAATTTCAAGTGAACTTAAATAATTGCACACTTATAATATAAACAATTTATTGATATATAATTAGCAAAATTTGACAGTGAAAATATTGACTTGAAGGTTAAGTACTGATTTGCCAAATATCAAGGCCATGTCTGGTTTTTCTCTTTATTGTGTTATGCTTACAAGATGTCACAGTATACATTTTTCCTAATACATTGTTTTTATTATTTTATCACTGATCTTTCCAGGCAAGATTATTAAAAGTAAAGCTTTCAGTTTGGTATTTGCTTAAATTATTTTTTCACTTTTAAAAAGTCTTCCGAGGCCAGGCACTGGTGGCTCATGCTTATAATTCTAGCTACTGAAGAGGCTGAGATCTGAGGATCACGGTTCCTAAGCCATCCCAGGCTTGCTGATCTCCAGTTAACCACCACAAGCCGGAAGTAGAACTGAGTCAATTGGCCAAGCACCAGCCTTAAGTGAAAGCCTAAGGGACAGCACCTAGGTCCTGAGTTCAGGCCTCAGTACCAACACACACACAACACACAGTCTTCTAACAACTTGAACAGAGTTGTGAAAAGAATGCGTTGTTCTTAAGAGAAGCTTCAAGCGATTATACTTCATAATGGAAGACCTCTAGTAGAATGGATACTGTGGCATCTTCTTAGGCAGGCTGCATGAGAAATTGCATATGTCATTCTCACTTTTGTATATCAGCTATTGGCTGTGTCAGAGTTATGTGTTTGGAGAGAGTAAATAACCTTACTATTGTAAAAATAGAGTCTATATTTCTTAATTATTCAAAAATGCCATGTTCTCTTTTTTGGTTCTGTCTATGCAAAGTTATTAAATGGTAACATAATTGTCTCTAACTGGTAAATCATTTGCCTTTATTTCCTTTTAGTATATAGAGCATATATTTGATAAACATTAGACCAGTATTTGTTTTACTGTTTTAACTGGAAAATAAATGAAGCATTTAGAATAATGTTTGTCAAACATATCTCATTTTTAAAGTTAATACTAGAAAAAAGGCAAAATGACAAACCTCATTTAAATTTACTTTGAAGCTCAGTGTTTTTGCTTTCTTAGTTGTCTACCACCTCCCTCCCTTCTCCCTCCCTTCATTGTTCAAATGGAGAGGATATAAGGAGAGTACAGATGCGGCAGGTCTTAAACGAAAGCGTTCCCAAGGTACAGTAATTGGAGTTTTATTTCTCTGTGTAGCTAAATTCCCAGATTTAGCATTCAGTTATGTTTAGAGAAATAGTTTATAGAAATTAGTTTCTTTAACGTGTCCATTGTGCTATACATATGTATAAACATTAGTAAACTATGTACATGTCCAGTAGCAAGACATTCACCACCATTAAGATGCTTTAAGACAAGATGTAGATGATAAGGAAGGGCAATATTTTACTGGCTTAGCACTCTTCTAGCTCTCCATCTTGTAGTTTTAGGTTTTTTTAAGCATAAGTTGCTCAACACTACTTTAACAAAATGTGGTTTGGAAACAATTGTTAAAACTTTGCAAAAATTGTTTTTATTTTAAAAAACCGACCTTGTTTTCTTTAGGACCAAAGATATGAATGTTTATTGTATTAGCTCTTAGACTAAGGTCTTATTTTCAGCATCAATCATGTGCCCTGGCAGGTAAGTAAAATATAAGCGGGTTTTACATACATTTTGTAAATTGCATTTGTAACATAAGAACTGTATTTTCTTGTACTGTACCTGTGTATTCTAGTAGGAAACAGGTTTTCCTTTAAAAATGTCTCATGATCTTAGATCTTGGCCATCACCTTATCTCTTTATAGCAGGCTATGTTGTTACTTTACCTTGAATTTCAACCCATCTTCAAATAAGTTAGACTACACAGGTAATTAGTTTTGTAGCAAGTCACTTAATTTCTTTATATCTCATATAAAATTACAGAATAATATTTTGCCCTGAGGTTTAGTACCTATTTTCTGATGAGAACATGGGATTTTTCTTAAGCCTATATCAGAGATACAAAGGAAAAGTATAAGGCCTTCTAAATACAGGATTACCAAATTCTGACTTGATGGATATGTTTCTCAATCCATTGCTTCCACTCACAATACTGAATTTGTGATTTGTGCCCACACGCTGTGTTTGGTACTAGAGACACAAAAGTGATCAGGACAGACCCTGCCTCACACAAATGACTTCTCAAACCTAGTTTGAGAAATGCATATTGACCATCATGGTAGAAAAACACTGAATTTCTCATTAAAACATCTTTCAGATTTGGATTTCTACTGTGATGAACATAGCCAGAAAAGTAGCTTTAATATTTGTTCCCAAAATACCTTTTATTCTATTTTTTATTTTTTAATTTTATTTTGTTGTAAAGATGCCATACAGAGGGGTTACAGTTTACATGAGTTAAGGTAATGAGTACATTTCTTTTATTTTTTTTATTTTTTTTTGTGTGTCAGTTGTGGGGCCTGAACTCTGGGCTTGGGTGCTCTCCCTCAGCTCTTCAGTTCAAGGCTAGCACTCAACCACTTGAGCCACAGTGCTACTTCCGGCTTTTTCTGCTTATGTGGTGCTGAGGAATCGAACCCAGGGCCTCATGCATGCAAGGCAAGCGCTCTACCACTGAGCCACCTTCCCAGCCCATGAGTACATTTCTTGTTGAACATTGTTATCCCCTCTGTTTGATTTTTACCTTATACTGATTAAAAGTTTTATAGATCTTTTGATATTTTTACTGGAACCAACAGAAAAACTGGACCTTACGTTTCTATATTAGAACTATTAAGGACTTTTTAATCTCTTAAGCCTTTGGAAAAATCAGCTCATCTAGGAATGCAATTCTTTAATTAACTTCATAGTAGGGGCTACAATTATATAATCATACCAATTACTCCATGTTGTCTTAACAAGTTGCTATTCCTGTGGCATTATTAATCATTTATAAAGTCTCTGTCCATTACTTAAGTTTTTTAATGAGTATTTTTTTCTACTGAACTGAAGTACATATCTGGGTTCTTATGTACTATTGATTCAAAGATCTGAATGGTATAATTTTTCATAACATTGTCTTAGAGACCTTCAAGTTATATTTTCTCTTTTGAAACAGCTATTCATAGTTTCAAATTGAGTCGAAACCATGTGGACTGGCACAGTATGGATGAAGTATATCTTTATAGTGATGCAACCACATCTAAAATTGCAAGAACAGTTACCCAAAAACTGGGATTTTCTAAAGGTAATTATTAGATATTATTTTAGTTTGTCAAAATTTGGATATAAGAATTTGTTTTTAGGAAGTGGTGCTGTAGCTCAAGTGGTAGAGCGCTACCTTGAGCTGAAGAGCTGAGGAACAGTGCTCAGGCCTAGAGTTCAAGGCCCATGACCCAAAAAAAAAAAAAAAAAAAACAGTCTGAACTTCTGAAGAAAACACAGGAAGGGCTCACACCCCACAAGAGAAAAAAATTTGTTTTTACTTACATCCAAAATAGAAATTTCTCATTTTTAATATAGTTTTTAGTTGTTAAATTTAATACAGATATCCCATTAAATAACACATAAGGTGATATTATTCATTTATAATGAGTAATTATGTATTTAGAATGATCAGACAAGATTAATAAATCAATACTATAAAAGCTAGTCAAATCCAAGACAGTAAAAGTAAAACATTTTTAAAGTGTCAAGGAAGATAAAGATAAAAATTGTAAGTAGAAGGTAAGGAAATGAAGGCAACTCTTTAAACATCTACTGAAAGAAAGAAGAGAATGGTAACTTAGAAAGCTAACATTCTCAAAACGTAAATTTTTTTAAATGTTTGTCTTTTAAATTTTTGTTGTCATTTGCATTGTAATTTACTTGACAGTCTGTGTGCTTGAATATCATTTTACATGCTTGTCAATCAGCTATATGTATTTTGTAAATTATCTGCTCATGTCTTTATCCCATTTTGCTGTTTGAATAGCTGTCTTTATTTTTCAAATGATAAGCTCACTTTGTATACTTTAGGTAATTAACTTATTGTATGTCACATTTCCCCAAGTTTCCCATTTATGTTTTTTTTTTTTTTTGGTTGGCGTGGGGCTTGAACTCTGGGCCTGGGCACTGTCCCTCAGCTCTTCAGCTCAAGGCGAGCGCTCTACCACTTGAGCTACAGCGCCACTTCCCCATTTATGTTTTATCTTTGTTTACTGATAATGTACTATAGAAGCTTTTAATCTGACATGTAGTTATCTTTTTCAGACTGACAATTGACTTTGAGGTCATGTCTTATTCACTTTATACCAGCCATTTATCTTAAAAAATTTTATTTCTTTATGTTCAATGAAATTTCTTGCTTTATATTCTCACTTTTTCACATATTGTGAAAATGCTATTTCTAAAAGTAAATATTAAACTTAGAATCCTAATTTTTCCATAGCATCAAGTAGTGGGACCAGACTTCATAGAGGTTATGTAGAAGAAGCCACATTGGAAGACAAGCCATCACAGACCACCCATATTGTGTTTGTTGTTCATGGCATTGGGCAGAAAATGGACCAAGGAAGAATTATCAAAAATACAGCCATGTGAGTTCTTGGATATACATTGTATATCTAGTCTGGTATCCAAGCTTTTATCTGAAACATGAGAAGGATTGTGGCATTCCCTCATTTCACTCCATATTTTTGAAGTGCCAACAACTGTTTAATCACAGTCAAGTTTATGAACCAAATTTATCCTGCCATATGGAGAAGAGAAGGGATAGGAAAGCCTTTTTAACGTATTAAATTAACTTACCCAAATCCAAGGTTTGAAAGCAATAAAAAAGATCTGGTTTTAAGTTTATATCCTACTCTCTGAACACTGAGAATACTTCAGAGTTGCCCAGCTCTGAAACTGCTAAGAATTGTTTATTCTGCTTTTTAGAAGCTTATCAAGTTAATTTCTACTAGAAGGAACTTAGCTCTAAATTTTATAGAATTGGTAGATAGTTTTCTAATCTACCAAGCACGTTAGTTACCTCATGGATTTATACTCCACTTTATTCTAAAAACTCTTGAGATGTTATTGAGGTATTTGTAGATTATTGTATTGAGGTATTGTAGGTTATTAAGATTACTGAGGTATGTGTAGATTTGCATGTTTCAAAAATATCATTTGTGTGCTGAAAGAGAATATGGTCATTAAAAATTCCACCACAGATTTGGTTCTGAGCTTATATGTAGTATAAGAAAAATTTGATCAAGTACAAATTTATGATGTGATGAGAACAGGTCAGTTATTGAGAAACAGAGTTTTCTGATTGTAGACTTCAAGTGAAAATATGTCATCTGTCTCTCTAATGTTGGCTTTTGTTTCAACGTTGTCACTTCTTAACCGCTGGTTAAGTTAATGTAACTTAAAAAATTACTTTCTGTTAGCTATAGCCTGGCTACTGATCCTTCCTTTGTTCTTACCATAGAAATGTCTTCCTGCTGATTCTGATTTTATTGTGATGAGTTGTATATTCTTATGATAATTTTTATGCCAGGATGCATCTTTTGCTTGGATATCTGGAGTCTTGAAAACTAGGTTTACTATTATAGTCTCTTAAATCATTGACATTGAAAAGGTATTGGTTTTATTTCTGTAAGTGCCAGTTAGCAAAATCTAAAAACAAAACAGGCTTACGTCAAAAGGAGGATTTAGGAATCGAGGAGGTACTCTGCCAAATAAACCATCAGAATCTATCAGCTCTACCTACCTTCATTTTGTAGCTACTCTCAGATATATCCTATGACTCCACAGGAGATGCGTATAATGTTTTATGTTCAAAGTCAACAGAAAAGATTAAGTCTTTATTACAGGAATTCCTGGATAGTCTGCATTTCAGTGACTGATAGTGTTGTAATTAAGTACATGAATTTATATACTCAGTCTGAATGACCAGACTTGTGGTAGTCTCACCCTACCTAACATCAGATAGCGGTTGGTTGACGCATCAAAACAGTAAGGAAAGGTAAAGCTATAGGTAAAAAATCAAGAGCTATTACTGGAAATTGAAAATTAATGAATCCTAAATGACTCAGAAAACAATTCACAGAGGATTATCATTGTTCCCTAAAAAGGCAGGTTAATGTGCAAATAATTGATAGGAATGTCCACATTTCCTACGTTTTCCCACTTGCTACCATTCCTAAGCTAAGTGGTCCAGTTGTTCGATTTTTTTTAATTTTTTTTTAATTTTTTTTTGGGGGGTTCGGTTGTGGGGCCTGAACTCTGGGCCTGGGCCCTGTCCCTCAGCTCTTCAGCTCAAGGCCAGCGCTCTACCACTTGAGCCACAGCGCCACTTCGGGCTTTTTTTCTTATATGGTGCTGAGGAATTGAACCCAGGGCCTCAGGCATGCAAGGCAAGCGCTCTACCACTGAGCCACCTTCCCAGCCCTCAATTTTTTAAAAAAGTGATTGTTCAATTTTTTAGAAAAGAAAGTATATTTAACCTTATCTCTATCAGTGCTGTTCTGCAGTTGTACTTTTGTGATTTATACTTGTGACTTGATTTAATAAACTATATTAAGATTTAACTACCTTTACTCCATGGGCAACCTTTTGTTCTCTAAGGATCTTTTGAAATCAAGTCTCTGATGCTTGGAAGTACAGATATTTTTCCCTCTCATCTTATCATGGTAAAATTACTTATGAATTCAAGCTAGTTTTAATCACTTTGTATCAGCAAAGTATGTTTACTAATTTGCATAGCTTGAGAATAAAGTTTGCAGATAACTAACGAAATAATCAAAATTGACTTATTAAAAAGTATAAATGTTACAGGCTCACACCTGTAATCCTAGGTACTCAAGAGGCTGAGATCTGAGAATCGAGGTTCAAAGCCAGCCCGGGCAGGAAAGACCGTGAGACTCCTACCTCCAATAAACCACTAGAAAACCAGAAGTGGTGCTGTAGCTCAAGTGGTAGAGTGCTCGCCTTGAGCTGAAGAGCTGAGGGACAGCGCCCAGGCCCAGAGTTCAAGCCCCATGACCGACAAAAAAAAAAAAAAAGTATAAATGTTTTAAATACAATAGATTTACTTTAATACAAGGCAAATCTTTTTGACATTACATATCTAACATCTTAAATTAATGAGGTCACCTGTAGTTTTAGAAGAATGTGAAGAGATTTTCAGTGAAATATGATTAAATTGAAGTTAGTTATAAGTTATTTCCTCCTGAAACTTCAGTACTGAAAACAATGGAAGAAGAAATAATGGCAGACAAAGAAGATCAGCATCCATATGGTTTACAACTCTAAAGATAAAATACATGTATATAAAGTCTGATTCTTCCTGGGCATGATAGCACATGTCTGTAAGCAGCACTTGATAACCATCTGGCTATATAGTCTTTTAAAAAAGGAAAGAAAATGATTCTCATTCCTATTCCTGTCTTCCCCCATTATTATTTTTCTATCTCATATATTTTCAAGTTTTCTTTATGCACATAGAATTTTTCATACAAAAATGGGCATAATATATATATACTTCTAGATCTTGACTTTTTTAATGTACCTTGTAAATTACTGCTCATGAATTTCCAAATCTTTCCTATGTGTATGAAATAGATATATCATACTTACATATTCTCAAGAAAAATTAGATATTGAGTTTTTTTTCCTGAGAGGAATTATGAATACTTTTTCAGGGTGATTTAATGATCCTTAATCGGACAGTACTTTTAGATGCTACTAATCTCTCCCTTCCTTCTCTTTACAGAATACGAACTAAGTATTCATTGCATGGCAGGAGAACATGGAGGGTCAAATAAGTTTATAGGACTTAAATCACAATATTTTATTCGTAGCATAATTACAGCACAGTAATTGATTCTAGTGTGAGCTATAGTACGGTCTTAAATCATTCGTTTTTCTTACCCTTTCATTCCTGTTGGTTCTCACATCTGTACATGGTATAGTATGTATAGTATAGTATTGTATAGTATGTACATTATGTAAATGACAGTTAACTGTCTATTAAAGAGGACTATCAGTTGTAAAATAAAATGCAGAAGATCTTGATTTTTTGAAAAACTATAAAATTGACAAACTTTGAGCTATACTAATCAAGAAAATATAAGACTCAAATTACAGAATAAAAAGGAGACATTATCAACTACAGCATTACAGAAATAAAAAGGATTATAAGGTGATACTGCACAGCAGTATTTATTTGCTGAATAGACAGATTTCCTATAGGTAATGGAGGCCAAAACTGATTCAGCATAAGAGACCTGAATAGATCTATAAAGTGTAAAGCATTTGAATCAATAATCATAAAGCTTCCCAGAAAAAAAAATTAAGCCTAGAAACAACTTCACTAGTGAATTCTTACCAAACAATTAAAAGGAAAAAAAAATTTCCTCAAACTCCCCAAAATAGGAGAAGGAAGATTTTTTTAACTCGGTGTTTGAGACTAGTATTACCTAGATACCAAAGGCAAATAAAAGTATTAATAAGGAAGGAAACTTAAGTCCAACAACGCAGAGAGTTAAATAGCCTGATAAAGTGGGATTTATTGCGGGAATATAAGGTTTGCTGGAGCAACTAAAAAAAAAATGTCTAGCATGGTGGGACATGCCTGTTCTTCTAGTATTCAGTAGACTGAGGCAGGAAGATTATGTCATAGTGAATTCAGTACCAGCCTAAGCTATGTGCCTAGGGTATCAGACACATCCTACTACCATGCCCAGCTAGAAAGACGAAAGTAGATGTAAAAGGAAATGGCTCCAAGAGAGTGGAAGACAAGGCTTGTGGGTATGTCCCAAATTTGCCTTGCTAAAATAGGCTCTTTTAAGAGATTAAAGGAGAAAACAAGCAGGTAGGTTATAATGTAGAAAAAACATTGGACAAAAGTCTAAACTCTTTCATAATAAAAGCATCCGGGAAACTAGAAACATGAATTTTCTCAACCTAGTTTACTTAGTTTAACCCTCAGCTAAAATTAAGTTTACTGGCAAAGACTAAAGCATTTCCCTAAGATCAGGAACAGAATAATTCTTACTCAACATTGTACTGTATTTTTTCATCAAAGCAATTGTTCAAGAAAAAGAAATAAAAGGTATCCAAGTTAAAAAAAAAAGTGGCTAAAGTAAATCTGTATTCTTACATATAGACAGTCCTGAGGAATATACTCACACAAAAAGTATGAGGGTGAATTAACTCATTCAGGTGACAGAACACAAGGTCAATATATAAAAATTGATTTTACTTACATACTAGCAGTGAATATTCTGAAGACCAGATTAAGTAATTCCATATAGTATCAAAGAAGATAAAAATGCTTGGGAATAGCATAAATAGGCATATATGATTTGTATGCTTGGGGCTGGGAAGGTGGCTCAGTGGTAGAGCGCTTGCCTTGCTTGCATGAGGCCCTGGTTCAATTCCTCAGCACCACATAAGCAAAAAGAAAAAAGCCAGAAGTGGCGCTGTGGCTCAAGTGATAGAGAGCTAGCCTTGAGCTGAAGAGCTGAGGGACAGCGCCCAGGCCCAGAGTTCAGGCCCCATGACTGGACCCAAAAAGAAAAAAAAAAAAAAGAACGAAGATGCTTCTAGATTCTATATTTTACTACATAATTTACTAATTTAATAAATTAGTTGATTCTGTAATTTACTACAGAATTTACTACTAATTAAGACCTTGTAGTACTGCCTGGGATTCAAACTCAGGGCCTGGCACCAACTAAGCAGGAGACCTCTTTCACACATGAGTCACTACACCAGTCCCTTTTTGCATTGATTATTTTCAAGTTAGGATCTCATTTTATGCTAGGTCCTCCTTTTGTTGCTGGGGTGACAGGCACTTGTTCCCACCGTACCCAACCATTGATTAAAATGAAGGCTTGTGAACTGAAGTCCAAGTTTGCCTGGCATGATGACCCACCCCTCCCAATTGCGCAAGTAGGTCGGATTGCAGGATTGAACCACTTTGTCCAGCCACACTTGTTATTTTTCAGATAGGGCTTCCTGCCCAGTTGTGTACTTGGACTACCAGCCACCTAGTTTAGGCTTTTCATCACAGCTAGAATGACCAGCATGTGCCACCAGGCCCAGATTCTTCCACTGAAATGGAATCTCACAGATTTTTCTGCCCTGGTATCCTAGAACTGAAATCCTCCCAATCTTGGCCTTTCATTAAAACAACAGGTTTACCCACTGCACCCAGCTGTTAGTTAACAAAGGAATCTTGTGTGTGTGTGGGGGCTGACCTTGAACCACACTGTTCTTCCTATCTCAGCCTCCCATGTAGCTAGGATTACCAACTGGTACCCAGCTTCATGGTTTTTGACAATGCCAGTACAGTTCAATAGGGAAAGAATAATCTTCAACAGACGGAGTTAGGACAACTGATTATCATACAAGAGAATGAAGGTGGACTCTTGCCTCATACTGTATGTACAAATTAAAGATGAAACGAAGACTTACTTGGCTCCTACTTAGAGCTAAAACTAAAGTCTTTAACAGGAAAGAGTAAAATCTGTTCAATCTTGGATTAGGCAGTGGTTTCTGAGATACTGCATCAAAAGTAGAATAGATAAGTGAGTTTGTATCAAAATTCTTTAAACTTTGTAAATAAAGACTCCTCAGCTATCCCTTTTAAGTTGAACTTTCCCCTCATAATTTAAAGCAAATCTCGGATATCACATCATTTCATCCATAAATAGCATATAGCTATGTAATATAGAAGTATCAAAAATTAATCGTTTTTAAATTTCAGCATATTAGTACAGGTGGAATGCTACCCACATATGCTAAAAATTCATGTAATTGACACTAAAAGAGGGGGGAAAATCAAATTTGTTGATACTTTAATTTCAAAAGTTAAAATGAGAGGATATTTAAAATAAGTAGGCCATAATTTGAGAATATTCAGAGCTGGTTGATGGCACAGGTATAATTCATTATATCTAAAAATTTGCATATATTTAGGAAACAGTGTAACAACTTGGAAAATTTGAAATCATAGTTTTCAAATTTAAGAAAAATAACTTTGAAATGGTTCTGATGTTGCCAACTTTGCTTAGTGTCTCAGTAATAGAAATATAATTGGAAAGGGGGATAACAAAAGATTCTTTACCATATAAATACATATGTGAAATTATTCTCAAAGTTTTATTTTGCTTTTATTAATTTATGTTTTTATTTTGTAGGATGAGAGAGGCTGCAAGAAAAATAGAAGAAAAGCATTTTTCCAATCATGCAACACATGTTGAATTTCTGCCTGTTGAATGGCGGTCAAAACTTACTCTTGATGGAGGTATATTTTATCTTACAGATTGAATGATATAGCCAGTGTCAAATATTTACCAAAATGAATGCATAGAATTTTAGGAAAACTTTTTGTTCATTGAAAACAAAGTCAATTTTGTCTTGGGGTATATTCACTCTTTGTTTTAGATTGAGTAAATAGAACTGTTGCTTTTTTTGATGATTATACTCATTTCTGTCATGTAAAACATCATATAGATTTTACAGCACTATTTTCATGCATATCCTCTATAGTCTCAAGGTAGAAAAAGCATATATAGAAGGAACAGATGTCGTGTAAGAATCTGGGTCTGCATGATACCAAAGCCAGTGTTCATATACTAACCTGGCTCTTGATGATTTCCAAGGATTCTTCCAGTTCTATGATACTGTCTCAAAGAAATTTCACTTAGCACTTACCAAACCAAAATGGGATCAAAAGTTATAATGAGCTTTTAAAAATAAATGCTTGTAAAATTAAAAAAAAATAAATGCTTGTTACCAAAGAACAGCTCTCAGCTTAATGGCTATGTGTAAATAGTCTGTATAAAATTTTGAGCTTTGCTCATTTACTAAGATGGATACTCAAGAATTATAGCCAACAAAGATGTATTAAAATTTACTAAAGCCAGGTGCCAGTGGCTCATGCCTGTAATCCTAGCCTCCTACTCAGGAGGCTGAGATCTAAGGATCACGGATCAAAGCCAGCCTGGGAAAGTCCCTGACACTCTTATCTCCAATAAACTACTCAAAAAAACCAGAAGAGGCACTGTAGTTTAAGTGGTAGAGTGTTCTTCTTGAGCAAAAGAAGCTCAGGAACAACACCCAGGCCCAGAGCTCAAGACCCAGGACCAGGCAGAAGAAAAAAAAATTACTAAATCCCATGAGCTTACCGGTCCTGTTTGGTTTTAGTTACTGCAGTAGTTTTTTTTTAAATTAACTTTATTGTTATTATAAAGATATGGTGTACAGAGGGATTACAATTACATAAGTCAGGTAGTGAGTACATTTCCTGTCATACAGTATCATCCTTTCTCCTACTCTCTCCCAGCGAAATAGTTTTTGTTTGTTTTAGAAGCAAAAGTATCACTGAAGTGACATACTGGCCTCAAACTCTCTGTATAGTCCAGGCTGTTATCATGATTCACCTTCTTGCCTTAGCCTTCTGAATACTAGGGTTACAGGTGTATGCCACCACTCCTGGTCTACTTTGTTAATTTTGAAGGCTTTAGAATGAATGAGTAAAGCCAGTCTTTAAAGATTGCATACTTTGTAAAATGGTTAAGGAGGCAGAACAGTTCTGTGTTCTGATCATGGTGATGTTTACTGTGCATACATTAGAATTCATAGTTATTTAAATTAAAAGTAATGATAAAAGCAAGCTGTAGCAAACATCAGCATGCAAGAAAAATAAAATAGCTATAAAGAATTGAAAGCATATGCTTAAAGGCCAAATGTGTCTACAAAAGAATTTATAAAAATTATTAGGATTAATAAGATTATGAAAGTCGTGAAAAAGAATGTATTTAAAATAATTGTATTTCTCTATACCAATAACACAGAAATGATATTAAAATGCAGAATATCAAGAAAACACTAGATGTATATTTATAATTAAGGGATCATTAAACAATAATTCAACTTAAACAAGAAGTGTTTATTTTTCCCCAAATTTATTTGTAGATTCTATGAAATCCTAACCAAAATCCAATAGCATTTTTCATGATTCTTGACAAATTAATTTTTAAATTATTAGAAAGTTGTGTCCTACTAGACAGCCAGACCTAATATTTCACCTTTGTAATTAATACAGCTTAGTGTTGGTACTGGCGAGGCAAATAGACTGGTGTACCAGAGTAGAGTTCTTAAATAGATGTGCTAATGTAAAAACTTGATACCTGTCAGAGCTGGCTTAACAGCTGCTTGGTGAAAGGGTGACCTGTGTTTTCTATGTGCTTGATAAATGGTTGTCATGTGGGAAAGAAAGGGGAAAGATCCATACTTTACCCACCAAATGAACGTTTCATAGTTTACAAAAGAAAATATCTAGAAACATCCACTTTCTCTCAAAGGAGTGGGAAAGTTTCAATGTAGAGGAGAATAAATACCATACAGCAATAAAAATGAGTGGATTACAGCTAGACATATCAACATGGATGAATCTCAGTACCTTGGCAGGGGTAGAAGAACTCTGTTCAGAAACAGGCAAAGTAAAATATTAGCCATCTGACACATAGTAAATACTATAAAAGTAATTGACTATAGTAATATTTTTAACAAGTAAATACATAACAAAGTACATGATTAATCCAAACCACTTATTAGTGAGATTGTATCTAATAAAGAGAAGTTTGAAGAGGAAGTTTGACACAGGGTATAACTGGTAAAGTATTTGCCTAGCATGTGTGAGGCCCTGGGTTCAGTCGCCAGCGCTGATGGGGAAAAAAAACAACATTGCTACCAATAGCAAAAGAAGTCCGTGGTCATTTAAAAATATATGGTGGACATCAAAGATAATGGCAGTATTCTTGGTGATAGTGTGCTGCACATTGAACTTAAGACCTTTGAACATGCTAACATGCATGCCCTTTGCCACTGAACTATCTATCCAACACAATAGCAATATTTTAAAGTAAGACATTGTTGTTTTCCTTCTTTATAAATTATTCTTTCAATTGCCCAGATGTATTGCTTTCTTATTTAATAATAAAAACATTTTTGCAAATGCATTAAAATGACCTTTAAACTGTTTCCATATGAGCATGGTGGTTATACCTTCCATTTTTGCAACTTAAAAGGTTGGCATCAAAGAAGAGACAGTAGCACACACCTGTAATCCCAGTACTTTGGGATTATCACTGCCTTCCGGTCTTTCATTCAGTACATTATATTGAAGTGTATGGTGAAATGCAATAATCTAAGCCAATACAGTGAAAAACAGGAGAAAAATGAAATTGTACCATAAACCTTCTGCAGTTTGTTGCTTTTTTGAGTAATAATATTTTCCCAAGTATGATGAATACTATTGCACAGTGTAAATATTGTAAACACAAGTTTCTCAGTGTTTAAAAGAAATGTAGTTTTCTGCATCTTTAGTAATTTTATTAGGTAAATAGTTTTCAACACTCCCTTGTTCGGTGAAGAAGTCCGTTATTCATTTTCTTGCTTTTGTGCATATTTATGATTTGACAGTTCTAGCCCATAGAGTTTTTGGTTCACTAAAGGGTAGATAAAGGCATGACCTCTGGGAAGTCTTAATTTAGTCTTGAATTTCTGTTAGCAGTGCCAGACCTTCCACATAATTATTGCCAGACCCAAGATACATGGATCAAGAAATTTTTTTTTATATGGCTGTTTATTCTTAGTGTTCTTTTAATGTCATTTTTTTGTCTTATTGGTTTGTTTTTGTTTTTGTGAATTTTTTTTGTGCTCAGAACCTCGCATGCTTCCTTGGCTTTTTCACTCAAGGCTGGCACTCTACCACTTGAGCCATGTATGCCTCCATGTCTAGTTTTTTGGTTGGTTAATTGGAGATAAAAGTTTCTCCAATTTGTCAGCTTGGGCGGGCTTTTAACTTTGATCTTCAGATTTCAGCCTCCTGAGTAGCTAGGATTACAGCCATGAGCCACTGGTACCTGGCTGTTTTTGTAATAATTTTCAGGAAAGGAAAGTACATTAAAGCCAAAGCTGGTCTCAACTATTTCAATGTTAAATTATTTCAGGAAATGTAATATTTCTCTCTTCTATAGTTTTAATTTTGTTGTTTCACTTTTTGTAGACACTGTTGACTCCATTACTCCTGATAAAGTTCGAGGTTTAAGGGACATGCTAAATAGCAGTGCAATGGACATCATGTATTATACTAGTCCCCTTTATAGAGATGAAGTAAGTATTATGACTGTCTTGATTTTTTTTAGATATCTTTAAGAATGATGCTATGTGAATGCCCTGCCTTTTAATTTTATGATTTTACTAACCAAATGAAAAATTACAGAAATCTGTTTATCTATAGATAGCCTTATTTAATAGTGAATTTGACAATCTTCAAACTAGACATTAAAGCCCTTATGGGTAGGATATTGATCTGAACATTGTTCTTTGAAAAAATACCATCTTTTATCAATCACATTAATTATATCTCTGATTGCTGTCCTCACAAGAGTTTTAGACACCTAGGAATTTCCTTCTGCTTGCTTCTGTGTGATAGACAGATATTGCTCCACTGTGTAGTGATTTATAACGGTTCCCAGATGACAATGTTGCTAATTCACCACAAATTGCACTAACATGGGTAAAAGGTAAAAAATTATTCAACAGAATGAGATAATTTCTATAACATCCACTTTGTCACTCATTGGAGGACTTTTGTTCATCAGAGTAAACTAACACTCGGTAATTGTCATAATAATCTTCATAAAAACCCTGTGAAGCTGGGGCTGGGAAGGTGGCTCAGTGGTAGAGCGCTTGCCTTGCATGCCTGAGGCCCTGGGTTCGATTCCTCAGCACCACATAAGCAAAAAGAAAAAAGCCGGAAGTGGCGCTGTGGCTCAAGTGGTAGAGCGCTAGCCTTGAGCTGAAGAGCTGAGGGACAGCGCCCAGGCCCAGAGTTCGGGCCCCATGACCGGACCCAAAAAACAAAAACCCTGTGAAGCAGATTCGTTATTATCATCCTTATTTGAGGGGTGAGGAAACCAACACAAGGAGAGATTAGGTAATATGCCAGAAGTGTCTCATTTAGCCAAGTGTTAGAGGCAGGATTTGAATCAGCTGGTAGAGCACCACATAATCATGCTGCTTATACTCCTCTCTTCTGTGGTCACATTGTAGTCAGTCTGATCACAGTGTTTTCAGTCTAGCTGCTTCTTTTGACTTCCTTGACCTTTAATTTTGTTAATACATACTCACTGAGCACCAGCTCTGTGCCAGGCACTATCTTTAACATTGGGCTACTTCACTGTAAAATTACCTGTCAATAGTAGAAGGCCAGAAGAAAAGCACTGCAAGTGTACAAAAGTAAAATCTGTTAGTTACAAAATTCCCTTTTCAGAAATCTATATCTATAGGTATAGATATAGATATGTGAACTCATCTGGTAGAAGGTATTTTGAACTTCTAAGAGAGCCTAGGAACCTGTATTGAACAAGACTCCAAGTAGGTGAAGCTGAAACATGTTGAAAATTGGAGAACCACTACACGAAAGCATGGAAGTCCTTAAAGACATTGAAATACTTGAAAGTGGCACTGTAGCTCAAGTGGTAGAGCGCTAGCCTTGAGCTGAAGAGCTGAGGGACAGCTCCCAGGCCCAGAGTTCAAGCCCCATGACCGACAACAACAACAACAAAAAAATGAACATAAAATACCAACTAAAGAAACTTACATCTTATCCTTCCACATTATCATCTTATGCTACATTGGCTGAATATATTTCATCAGACAGGACACTTGGTTTCAGTAGCTTTAATGAGCCCTCAGTATTGCATTATGGAACTCTTAGGTATCAACAGAATGTCATGCCTTTTATGAGATCTATGACATTGCTGATCCAGCCAATCATAAAATGCTTAAGTGATTGTCAGTTTGTATCATTGAGTATGCTCAGTAAAAGTTGGAAGCTAGTTGTCTCTTGAGGGAGAATAACAGTATTAAAAGTAAAAACAAGCCAAGCACTGGTGGCTCATGCCTGTAATCCTAGCTACTAAGGAGGTTGAGATCTGAGGACTGTGGTTTAAAGCCAACCCAGGCAGGAAAGTCCGTGAGACACTTATCTCCAACTAACCACCAAAAAACCAGTAGTGGAACACAAGTAAAACAGCAAATTACTGTTCTTTTTGGTTTATAAGTTTTTTATTGTGAAAATACTGTACATGAGCAAGGTAATGAGTACATTTCTTATCAAGCATTATTGCCTCCTCCTTTGTTTTTCCCCTACCATGCCTTCCCTCCCACTGCCACAACTACACTCTCCCCCGTCCCACTGCCTAAATTGTAAAGTTCGTTGTTCAGCAGTGTCTTGTACATCTCATTGTCACAATGGGTAAACCTGTCTCCCTATTTAAACGTTTTGTTTTTTCCCTTCCCCTCCCCAAATTATACCGACATCAAATACAGTGAAAACGGGTTATACTGTAGGGGAGGAAGTAACAAAAAAAATCACATGGTACCTTATAAATACATTAGAATCAATAGCAAGAAAGAAAAAACCACTTGTGTCCCTATCTTGGGGTTCATTTCACTTAACATCATCTTATCTGGTCATATGTACATAGCTTTTGACCTTTTCTGCTTATCCCAGACATATACTAGTTATTGCAAATAAGGGAAACCATAGTACCTGTGTTTTTGGGGGCCTGGCTTACTTCACTTAATACAATTTTTTTCCAAGTCTTTCCATTTCCTAACAAATGGGGCAATGTCGGCAATGTCATTCTTTCTGATGGAGGCATCGAATTCCTGTGTGTATGTGTGTCTATGTGTATGTGTCTGTGTGTGTGTCTCTGTGTGTGTGTGTCTGTGTGTGTGTGTCTGTGTGTGTGTGTCTGTGTGTGTGTGTCTGTGTGTGTGTGTCTCTGTGTGTGTGTGTCTCTGTGTGTGTGTGTCTCTGTGTATGTGTGTGTGTATACACACACCACAATTTCTTGATCCATTCATCTACTCAGGAGCATCTGGGTTGGTTCCATATCTATCTTCTAAGCTATGGTAAATAATGCTGCAGTAAACATAGTTGTGCTGGTAGCTTTAGTATGGTCTGGTTTGTGATCATTTGGATAAATGCCCAAAAGTGGGATTGCTGGGTCATAGGGGAGCTCTAGGGAGTCTTTTGACTCCCTACTGCTTTCCAAAGTGGTCGAACAAGTTTACACTCCCACCAACAATGCAGTAAGGTTCCCTTCTGTCCACATCCCCTCCAGCATCTGTTATTATTAGATTTCTTGATTATAGCCATTCTAAGTGGGGTGAGGTGGAATCTCAATGTTGTTTTGATTTGCATTTCTTTTATGGCTAGAGAGGTTGAGCATTTCTTCATGTATCTATTGGCCATTCATATATCCTCTTCAGAGAAGTTTCTCTTTAAGTCTTCAGCCCACTTATTTATCAGGCAGTTGTTTTTTTGAAGATTTGTTGCTGGGGGATTTAATTTTTTGAGTTCCAGGTATATTTTAGATATGAGACCCTTGTCTGTTATATGGCTAGTGAAGATCTTCTCCCAATCCATGGGCTTTCTATTGATCTTACTAGCTATGTCCTTTGCCATGCAGAAGCTCTGCAATTTCATGCAATCCCATTTGTCCAACGTTTCTTTGATTTGTTGTGTTTCTGGGTCTCTATTAAGAAAATTTCGGCCTGTGCCAAGGAGACCTCTAAAGTGTCTCCTATTCCTTCCTGTAATGTTTTCAGCGTGTCTGCTTTGACTCTGAGGTCTTTGATCCATTTTTGGAGTTGATTCTGGTGCAGGGTGATATATAAGGATCTAGCTTTAGTTTTCTACAGGTGATTAACCAATTTTTCCAGCACCACTTACCGAAGAGGCTGTCTTTCTTCCATTCTATTTTTTTAGCTTCCTTATCAAAGATTAAGTGGCTGTAGGTCTGTGGGTTCATTTCTGTTCCATTGGTCCTGAGGGCTGTTCTTGTGCCAGTACCAAGCTATTTTGATTACTATGGCTTTGAAATTTGGTATTGATATCCCTCCAGCACTGTGTGTTCTGTAGTAATTACAAAGATTGTAATATTATGTATCCCTTCAGTTCTGCAAGATTGTAAAGCAAACTTATTCTGTCTCCTAAGGATCGTTTTTGCTATTCTGGGTCTTTTATTGTTCCATATGAATTTTTGGATTGCATCTTCTGTTTACTTGAATGAGGTTAGAATATTGATAGGTATCACATTGAATTTGTAGATATCTATTTGTAGATATTGCCATTTTCACGATGTTGATCCTTCCAATCCAGGAGCATGGGAGGTTTTTCCACTTTCTAAGTTCTGCTTTGATTTCTTTTTTCAGGTTTTTAAAGTTTTCATCGTAGAGGTCCTTCACTTCTTTAGTTGTTAATTCCTAGGTATTTTATTTTTTGTGAGGCTATTACAAAAGGATTTGCTTTCCTAATCTCAGCAGCGCTCTTCTCATTGTTGGCATACAGGAAAGCCACTGATTTTTGAGGGTTAATTTTATACACTGCTACTTTGTGAAAATTTCAAATCAGCTCAAGTAATTTGGGAGTGGAGTCCATGGGATTCAAATACAAGATCATGTCATCTGCAAAGGGGGAGAGTTTTACTTTATTTTTCCTTATTTGGATCCCCTTTATGTTTATATCTTGTCTTATTGCTGTAGGTAGGCATTCTAATACTAAATTGGAGAGAGTGGACATCCTTGTCTCATTCCTGAGATTAGAGGAAATAGCTTTAGTTTTTCACTATTAAATATAATGCTGGCTGTAGGTTTGTCATATACAGCCTTTATTGTATTGAGGAATTTTCCATGGACTCCTAATTTTTCCAGCAAATTGCTATTCTTTGTAAGAGTAGCAGCTAGCATTTGAAAAAAAAAAGAGTAGCAGCTAGCATTCTACAGATTTCTATAAGAAATTGAGGGTCAAATTCAAAATGCATAACCAAAAACAACAAATTACTGTACTTTGTCAGAGTAGCAGCTAGCATCCTACAGACTTCAATAAGAAATTGAGTCTCACCCCTCTGTACAGTATTTTCACAATAAAATAAAAAGAAGCTGTAAAAGGAAAAAAAAAGAAATTGAGTCTCAAACTCAAAATGTATAACCAAGTAGGAATAAATAATAGTCTAGAAATGAAAAGACTTAAAACTGAGGTCAGGAGTCAATATGAGTTTGAGTAGCAGAAGAACTTTATTTTGTTGATTGTGTAGAGTATTGCAATAATAATAATTAAGGTTCAATTTCAAAGAAAACAGTTTTGTTAAGAAAAATTACTCTTTCCAAAATGAATAACTCCAAACTTTAAAAAGCCTTGCTTCTCACCCCTAAAAATCAAATTTTTACTCATATCTATCACCAACTTAATGGAAATTTGAAATATCAAGTGGATTAACATTAGCTTTTTATTTAAATCATACAGTATCCTTGTATTATATTACTCTTAACTATATATGTGATATGTTAATATATGTGCTATAAACTCATTGCCAAAATGTATGACTAAATATCACAAGGTATAAATTAAGGATTGAAGCAAGCCACCAGTTGTTCATGCCTGTAATCTAGCCACTTAAGAAGCTGACATCCAGATGATCATTTCGAGGCTAGCCTGGGAAAAAAAGCCCACAAGACTCCATTTCTGAAATAACTAGCAAATCAAGCTGGAGGCATGACTCAAATAGTAAAGCACTAATTGTGCAAACAAGCTGAGTAAGTGTAAAGTATGAATTCAAACTTCGGTACCAGAAAAAAAGTATATAGAAATTGCCTGTAGGGATAAGATGCAGTTACTAGAATCTACAGGGAACACATTTTTCCTAATCTCCCAATGTAGTTGACTTCAAGCCTACACAAAGATCTGTGTACATACACAGATCTATATGCTTGTGTGTTCTGTAGTAATTATAAAGATTGTAATATTATGTATCCCTTCAGTTCTGCAAGATTGTAAAGCAGACTCATTCTGATAACCTGTATTTGGTCAGTAATGTTTAGTTTTCTTGAGTTTAGAAATAAGGTTTACAGCACTCAGTGATAACTAATATATATATGTATTTCTTTTTATTTCAAACAGCTAGTTAAAGGCCTTCAGCAAGAGCTGAATCGATTATATTCCCTTTTCTGTTCTCGGAACCCAGACTTTGAAGAAAAAGGGGGTAAAGTCTCAATAGTGTCCCATTCCTTGGGATGTGTAATCACTTACGACATAATGACTGGCTGGAATCCAGTTCGACTTTATGAACAGTTGCTTCAGAAGGAAGAAGAGTTGCCTGATGAACGGTGGATGAGTTATGAAGAACGACATCTTCTTGATGAACTCTATATAACAAAGCGACGGTAGTGTATCCTGGTTTGGGGATATAATTTAAAATGTCTTTATATAATTACTAGACCCTTTAGGAGAAAACTTACGACTTTCATTGTTAAGGATACAAAGATTACTGGATAATGTGCCTGATCAAGCTAAAGATTAATTTTCATGCCAATTACATGCATTTTTTATAGCATAAAATCATTTTGTTTTCCTCTGCATTTTTTCCTTCTGTCTTTCCTCACAACTAGTTAGGAGTGAAATCTAAAACTTATTTCCAAGCTGAGTCTGTGCAGAACTTATACTGAAAATGTTTACTACTTTAAAGTCACTTATAGTGTATTGATCTTGAAAAGAAGATCTCTACCTTTATATTATTATTTGAAAATAGTCTTAAAACCCCTTTTTATTTCTTGACCAATGTGTTTTATTGTATGTTGTATGTAAATGTAAGTGTATGTTATGTAATTATAAACATTTGATTATTGTTGCCTTTCTAGAACTATCTTGTAATTCTTGGCCATATTCCTATCTCGATTGATTTTCTGTGGCACAACTTCTTTTCCTCTCAGTAGTAAATCATTTCATCAATTCTGATAAAACAATGTATTTCCCTCCTTCAAGTAGTTTAGCATTGTACGAAAACAACTGAGTTAATTGACTAACAGTCTTTGATTCTCTTCTAGTATTAGAGAAGTTGTCTAAGAATCTCATATTTTAGATTCTGTAAGCTAGACATATATTATAACAAAAATATAACAAAATTATTAGTTTTGAAAGAAAATGTCATGTTTACCAAACCTCAGAGCAGTATTAAAGATGTTAATTTTTTAATTCGTTTATGTTTATTAAATGTAAGATACAGAATATTATAATGAGGTAAAAGATGAAACAACACAAGTATTCATCACCAGAGAAGGTTAAACTGATCTGTGGTGTGTTGGACAAGTAATCATTGCTGTAAAAATTACAGTAGGTCAAGAGGCAGTGACATTAAAAGATCTTTAAGGTTAATTATTATAGGAAAGGAAAAGATGCTTTAAAAAGTCACCAAGAATAAATCATTTTGTGTCATGTGTATGTGTGTGTGTGTGTGTGTGTGTGTGTGTGTGTACGTGTATATGTATACATCTGTACGTACCTGTGTGTCTGTGCCTATCCTGGAGCTTGAACTCAGGGCCTACGTACTGACTGACCCTGAGCTTTTGTGCTAAAGGCTAGTGCTCTGCAAATTGAGTCACAGCTCCACTTCGTTCGTGTGTGTGTGTGTGTGTGTGTGTGTGTGTGTGTGTGTGTGTGTGTGTGTGTGTGTGTGTTTAATGAAAGCTAAGAGTCTCAAGGAGTTTCCTGCCCAGCCTGGCTTCAAACTGTGATTCCCAGATCTCAGCCTCCCAAGTAGCTAAGATTATAGGCATGAAATAGCAGCACCCCACAAGTCATTTTTTAAAAGTATATAGATGCTTACCTAATATTCCACTAAAAAGCCTTTTTACTAAAAGAAGAAAATGCCAGGCTAAGAATGTACGTAGATCATTTGTTTAGCATGCACAGGCTCTGAGTTTCATCCTTAGCACTGGAAGAAGAAAAGACAGGTGACAGGAGTGTTTTATTTGGTACACTATATGGTGCAGCATGTGCATTTATTTTAAAAAAATTTTAAAGAGGGGTCAGAGTAGGGGTTAGTATGCTTTGTAAACTAATAAGCATCTAATGTACTGTGATCAGTATACACCTGTGTGTAATCTCATACCACTTCCTAGGCTGAGGGAAATAGAAGAACGTCTGCATGGATTGAAGGCCTCATCCATAACACAAGCACCTGCCTTAAAATTTAAGGTAAGGAAAAAGTGATGCAGTTTTCATTATCTTCATATTCCTTGAGTATTTAAATGTGATTTATGGTACAAATTGAGGTTTAATTATGAATGGCTATGGAATACTTACTGTGTATTGGACACTGTTTTCTTAGTTCTGCAAAGAAAAGAATGGACAAAATGGCACTTTGTCCCTGGGGACATGGAATAGTGTGTTATAAGTGCCATTAGCCACACACAATGATGTGTGTGTGAGCAAGGAAAGTTTAAGAAATGGCATGGACCCTTGTTCTAAGTAGATTAAATTTGGCCAAGCAAAAGAAGGGAGAAGTCAGTGGCATGAAAAAAGAAATAGATCAGCAATGATTCCAGGATGGAAAGCTCACAGTTCAATCAAAAATACTGACCCAACTTGGGTCAGTTTGGCTGGAATTTTCAGGACTCAATAAGGAGTCTGGGGGAGAGCAGGAGTAAATAGAAATAAGAAATAGGATTGAAATATGGGCAGTGTACCAAAATAGCCTTTTGAAACCAATAGTTTAGGAAAATCTAAAGTGCAGAGTGGTCAACAATGACCACTCTTGGTAAGGATGTTCCTGTAGCTGTATAAACTGACTACATAAAGATGTCATAAGTTTCCAAATGAAACTTATGCATGGCTCTATGATACTGAATTACTTGTTCTAGGAATCTACTGCTGTCAGTGAAATTTAATGTACAGGTAAAGAGGGAAAATGAGCTGGGTGCCAGTGGCTCATACTTATAATCCTAGTTACTCTGGAGACAGTTCTGAGGATTTCAGTTCAAAGCCAGCCTGGGCAGGAAATTCTGTAAAAAAAAAAAAAAAAACAACAAAACCAGTAGTGGAGCTATGGCTAAAATGGTAGAACTCTAGCCTTGTCCATAAAAGCTCAGGGACAATGCCCAACCCTTGAGAAGTGCCAGGTCGAGCATACACACACAAAAAGTTAATCTTTGAGATAAGCCTTTGGTAGGTAGCCTATGCTGACCTCAAACTAAGGATCCTCCTGCATCCGCCTCCAAGATAGATGTGTGCCACCAGTTTGATTCAGGGGAAAAAATGAACAACAACAAAAAAAAAAACTTATGGCAGTTCTGGGGACCAAATTGGCAAGCCCTATACCATTTACACTTTCCTAGCCCCAGGGGAAAAATTAATAGAATTACTTTGATTCTGTCTCTAGAGCTTACAGAATTGTTTTTCTTTTAACTAATAACATATATTTAAAAGCTATAATGATAATGTTATAACAGACCTTTAAAGAAGTTGGTCTTTGAAGTTTTCCTGACATAGAATTTGAGTTACATCTCTGCTACCATCCTTATGTGATCAAAGTAGACTGTATAGAAGTGATGTGATAGAAGAAGTAAAATCTCCTATTTTGTGTTATGATTTTTTTTTACTGAAGTGTTAGGTATGTCCCAGTAAGTGTATTGCTATGTCAGAATTGAATACCATATAACTAGAACTTATGCACTGTACTTGAGTGTCCTTCTGATGCACACATAATCACATGTTGTATAACATGAGTTTAAATTATTAGAGAAAACACAGAAATCTAATGGACTGTCAAATCATATTTAGGATTCCAGAGTTCTAAAGGAAACAAGTTATTCCATGCCAGTTGCCAAGAATGAATTGACTTTCAGAGTACAGGTGTTAGCTCTATAACACTTGATCATTGATTCTCAAAAGAAATCTAATGAACTGTCAAATCATATTTAGGACTCCAGAGTTCTAAAGGAAACAAGTTATTCCATGCCAGTTGCCAAGAATGAATTGACTTTCAGAGTACAGGTGTTAGCTCTGTAACAATTGATCATTGATTCTCAAAAGAGAAGAAGCTGGACATTGTGGCACACACCCATATGTAATTCTGGCTACTTGGGAGGCTGAGATCAGAATGAGGTCAGTGCTAGACCAGCCTAGGCAAAAAGTTTGGTTTAGCTGGGCACTAGGAGGCTAACGTCTGAGGATCCAAGTTTGAGGCCAGTCAGAACAGAGTCTGTGAGACTTATTTTCACTAAATCACAAAAAACTGGAAGTGCAACTGTTAAAGCTCCAGCCTTGAGTGGAAAAAGCTAAAGGACAGTGCCCAGGCCCTGATTTCCAGCCTCACCACCAAGAGGGGTTCACAGAAAGGAAATGAGGAGGGAGGGAAGAAAGAGGGAGACACTAACAAGCTTTAGTGTAGAAAGTGGAAACTTGGGGTTGGAGGCATGGCTCAATTGATATGAGCACTAGCCAATGAATGAAAGCAGCAGGTATTAAGTTCAATTTCCTGTCTTCAACTCCATACGCATTGCTCTAACTGTAGTCAAATCATTTAATATTTCTGAATTCACTTGTTCATTTATCTCTGAACAAAGGGTTAGACTAAACATCTAAGTTTCCTTTTTACCTTTAAAATCCTGATAGCTGGAAACATTACTGAAGCTCAGTCATTACCCCATTGAGTGTGTTCCTCAAACTACAGTTTTACCACAAAGAAAATTTGCTTCTTCTGTGAAGATAAGAATTTAGTGTCTGACCAGTGAATTCATAAAGAATTTTGTTAGATAAAAAGTGTGCATGTGAGCCAGGCGCTGATAGTTCATGCCTGTAATCCTAGCTACTCAGGAGGCTGATATCTAAGGATCGTGGTTCAAGCCAGCCGGGCAGGAAAGTCTGTGAGACGCTTATCTCCAATAAATGACTGGAAGTGGAGCTGTGGCTCAAATGATAGAGCGCTAGCCTTGAGCTGAAGAGCTGAGGGACAGCGCTTAGGCCTAGAGTTCAAGGCCCATGACCGGAAAAAGAAAAAAGAAAAGTGTGCATGAGGCCATGCACCAGGTGTTCAAACGTATAATCCCAGCTATTCAGTAGGCTGAGATCTGATGATGGAGATTCAAAACAAGCCCGAGCAGATAAATCCATGAGACTCTCATCTCCAATTAACAACCAAAAAGTCAGAAGTGGACCTGTGGTTCAAGTGATAGAGCACTAGCCTTGAACACAAAAGCTCATGGTACTGTACTAGACCCAGGCCCTGAGTTCAAGCCCCAAGACTAGCACCAAAAAACAGTAAAAGTAATAAGCCATATTAAGCCATATTTCCTGCTTCTGTTCATTTGAGTCTGTCCATCTAGTCTATCATTCTAGTATTCTAGTCTCAGCTGTGGAAATTCTTTATATTTCATGCTGACAACTGCAAATGCTGCCTTCTCTGAAAAGCCCTCAGGTGGAAGTGTTCCTTTTACCATTCCTTTATAGCACTCCTTCCCTCTGGTGTGCACTCTTCTGTTCGCCTTCTCCCCACCACCCCCAATTGTAAATTTATGAGGCTCTACCTTACTAGTCTAGTCCCAACCCATTACACTTAGTATATTCACACAAAGTTCAGGAACTTGCTCTGTCTACTCCATGCATTGGTCTGGTATCTCTAGGAAACAATGCACCAATAAATAAAACTTTTTTCTAAAAGTGGTAGCTCAGTAAATCTTTGATTGGTGGATAGAAACACACTATGAAATGTGTTTTCTTCTTATCATCCTTCCCTTCTTATTCTTCAACTTCTCGTGGCTTTAAAGCAATGAAATTCTGCTGGGTGCCAGTTGTTTATTCCTGCAATCCTAACTACTCAAGAGGTTGAGAGCTGAGTATTGCAGTTTGAAGCCATCCCAGGCAGGAAAAGCCTCTGAGGCTCTTATTCCAATTAACCTCCAAAAGGTTGGAAGTAGAGCTGTGGCTCTAATGGTAGAGTGCTAGCCTTGAGCACAAAAGCTGAAGGACAGCACCCAGACTCTGAATTCAAGCCCCAGAGCCAGCGCAAGAAAAAGAAAGAAAACTTCATGGAAATAGATTATTTTAGAATGATTAGTTGGCATATACTCAAACAATGCAGATATCATATGGGCATAGTCTAATATACTTAGAGATAATTGTATTTTCATCTTTTAAAACATATTATTCCATGATCCTAGTGAAAAATAATGTGATGTCTTTTCACTTCAGGTTGAGAATTTCTTCTGTATGGGATCCCCACTAGCAGTCTTTTTGGCATTGCGTGGCATTCGACCAGGAAACTCTGGAAATCAAGACCATATTTTGCCTAGAGAGATTTGTAATCGGTTACTAAACATTTTTCATCCTACAGACCCAGTGGTAAGCTGCAATATAGGGTTTTTTTTTTCCTTAATGTTCTTTTGTTCCTGAAAATCTATGCCAGGGCCCATTGAATTAATGAGTCTGACTTATTTGCAGAAGTTCGTGTTCTTAAAACACTTGTATCTTGGTTTACTAGGATTCATTAAATAAAATACCTTAGAGATAATGTTTATGTTGCATATGTAACATTAGAACATAATATAGAATTATTATCCCAGGATTAATAAAAAAAAATCAGGAGTTACCTCAGTTCCCAAACTTTTGCCAGCTTTAATGTTAGGATGTAATGTTAGCAACCCTAAGTCTTAAAATTCTGCTTGAAATACTTTGTTTTCTAAAACATACCACTGTATTGAAATGTGTTTGATGAATCCTTTTTAAAATGAATATATTCAGATACCACATACTAATCATGAAAAGGTAAAACTATTTTAACCCAGTACGAGTGTTGAATACTGAATTTTTATATTTGTGTTGTAAATAATGTTTTTAAATGTAAGCACTTCAGGAATCTTGCATCCAGCTATAAACAGGCAAATTCTATTTGAAATTTATTTCCAGGTCTTGGATTGCAGTTGAATCATCTCCTTTCCTTTCTATTCCCTCCTTCCATCTTTCTTTTCTTGTGATATGGTGCTAAGGTTTGAACTCAGGGCCACACTTGAGCCAACCCCCTAGTCGTCTTTGCTTCATCTTTCAGGCAGGTTCTCATGCTTTTCCCTTGGTCCAGCCTTGGACTGCAAACCTCCATCTTCCTCCCATGTAGCTGGTATCGTTTATTGAGCGGCAGGTCTTGTTCACTTTTTTGCTCAGGTTGTCAGCCTTGCCACCTCTGCTGCCTGTGCAGCTGGGATCACACAAGCCTGCAAAACCAGAACCAGCCAGTTTTCTTCCTCCATTTGGAAGTTGTGAGTCTT